CATGTCACACCTCCTCTCCTAAGTGTGGGCTTAACATGCAGCAACTCAATCCCATAAACTAATGATCAATGAAACATTATAATGAACTAATCAGTCTGCTTCATGTTAAAAGCATAAGGTTCACATGAGTTATAAATCTCACCTAATCTGGTGCACCAAGCAGCCACTTAAAAACATGCATCAAGTCAAAAATCATATCACTATCCTGCATTTCTGAGAGACTGTCCAGAAATGATGAGGAAAAAGGGGTCAAAAAAGGGGTAGGGTTCTTTCTTATTTCTTTTTGTTAGGGGGAAAAAAAGAAAATTTAGCTTTAGTCTTAACTTGAATCATATAATCTTAAATGTTTATTTTTTTCTCATCCCAGATTTATATTTTATTGAAATTTTCCCTTGCATATTTAAATGTTAAAATCAATGAAAATGTATATTCTATTAACATATTATTATTGTTGTTGTACACCAGCGTAAATTATTTATCTTTATTAATGGTGACCTGAGGTGTGGACAGTCTTGCTTTTTTTTAACTGAAACATAAGGTTTTAATACAGTCTCTATCTCCTTTGGTATATAGTATTGACCTTTTTTCTGTTTCTTGGATGCACAGTTTTAGAAACTTTCCCATTTTTTCTTAAATTAAAAGTTTTACTGAAATAAATCAGCATTTTAAGTGAAATAAAATATCGGAGACAATAGAATTCCTTGGGGAACATTATACGAATATCCTATTAAAAACACACTAGACTGTGGAAATATTGGCTCGAAGTTACCCCCGCACTTCTTCCTCTTAACAATAATATTATGGCGTGTTTAACCCTATCATAGCATCCTCTTTCGTCAATACTAACTTTAGCAAATTGTTTAATAAAGTTTCTAAACCAGAAAAAACTCACTGTGCAGTAAAGTGATGAGAAGAGACAACATCCTCGCGGTGTTCATGTTTAGTCACGTTGGGTTCAGATCCGTACTGTGGGTGTCTGGATGAGATTAGTTTTAAGCTACACCAAACTTTCTGCAGCCTCTACAAGTTTCAGCGGCAGCACGCGCGCGCCCTCATGCATCCTGGACAACTGACGGGGAGCGCGCGCAGGCGGGAGAGCTACAGTTGTCTTGAGGCTGAACTTCAGGGAGATCACTACCCCCTCAGCAGGCAGAGTAGGCTATGCAGGGAAAAACATGAGTCTGTTCTTTGTTGTATTTTAATGCCTTGGTTTGTATGTTTTCTTTTTAAACTTAATGGGTTTACTACTGTGTGTTTTATTTTTCTGCCTTTGTGGAGCACTTTGTAACGTGGATTTTGATAGCATTAAACCAGGGGTGGAAATTAACTTAACTTAATTATATTCCCACTTGCATCTTCAAGTTTCTACATCCACATCAAATTGGGCCACGTTGGCATCCAAATTATTTGTGACTTTACAAATCATGCTCGTAGGCCCACCCCTTAAAATAAGATTATCAATGAGCACAGAGAAAGTTTCCACTTTCACTAGATGCATAAGTAGACAGCCTTCTTAGTGTCAAACACTGCACCTCATTCTGCACAGTGAAGCTTAAACATTAGAACTGTAGGAAGAAGAAGAAAAATATATTTTTGAGTTTTTAACTGTTTTGATTTACTCTCACCGCTCTCCTCACTTTTCTGCGCAGATGGCAGCTGTTTTCAGCAACAACAAAAAAAACTTATTCAACACATCTCTCATCCAAAGGTATCAAATACTGACCCTTTGAAAAAACGTTGGTATTTGACACACAAGGTACTCTTCCACGCCTTTTTAATATTTGAATATGCAGGTTGGTTAGGTTAAGGCACTAAAACTACTTGATAGGTTTGGGACAAACAAATTTGGTTGAAATAAGTACATTAAATTATTTCAATGGGTTACATTGGAATTACTTGAAAGCCCAGCGCGTCTCATAAGGGTACCTTGTGTGTCAAATACTGATGCTTTGTCAGGCTTTCCCAAAGCGTCAATATTTGACACCCTAGAATGAGACCAGGCTGGAATATTCGACTTACATTCATCAGGTGGACGCAAACCAGACTGCAAATTAGTGATAATGTTGCTCTGTAACTGCTGGATGTGTAATTTGTTTGCTATATCAACTTAAAAGGTGATGATATGTAGATAAATGTTGTGTTCACAACGAGTGGCCAAAAGATCAGTTATTGCAGGTTTAAGTACAATTTTGAGGTACTTGTACTTTACTTGAGTAGTTCCATTTTAAGTGTCTTCATACTTCTACTCCACCACTGTCAGATCACTAATCTGACAGCTACTTTGCAGATAAATATTTTACCCAAAAAACATCATCAAAATATTATATGACACATTTTTCTCCTTGTTCAGAAATCTACAAAGAAAATTAGTCGGCCTTTTAGGAACAAATGAATACTGTCCCACTTTAATCTTAACTACCTTTTGCATTTAGAATTTCTGACATAATTTCAGCAACCTCCATCAAATTTTAAAAGATGAAAACCATCATGGTAGTTGTGAGTTTTCCACATGTCTACAGAGACAAGTGTCATAGGAGGTGCAGAGATAGGACAGCTGCTGGCTGAGCTACGGCGTCCTTGGCTATTAGGTTTCTCACCACCAGCGCTCGCACAACAGCACATTGTCGTTCGTTCTGGTTAATGTGCACACATGCTTACATTTGTGGCCATATGCGCACACAAAGATCAACACACAGAAGCCATACATGCAGACACGTGCGCATGAACACACAGAGAGAGAAAGAAAGAAATCGAAGTCACAGAATTTCTCCCGCAGCACCTGTTCACAATCAACAACCCCAGCTGCTCCGCTGTGATCAGGACACACTGATGTCATGTTACACACCACACACACACATCCACAACAACACAGCTCAGTGACCACTGCTCATGTTACACAAACATGTTTTACATCAACAATTTCTCCCACATAGTGATTCTTATATGAGCCACACAAACATGATGCGGTGACATCATTTACACCGCTGTCCTCTTTGCACTTCACTGCACACAGCTCAACAACATTCTGTAGCAGGTCTGTGCCAACTAGACTAAACAGGATCTAATTTTAAAGCTTAGCTTTGACACTTCAAAAGTTTAATGTGTAAAATTGGTGGAGTTCCCTTTAAATTCACTTTGAACTAACCCTATCCTTAAAACTGGTGAGATTTTGTATAATGAACAAGTGCCTTCTAAAACAAAATAAGGATAGAACTCAAAAACTTTTAAATTTTCATATAACTTCTTAAGGTTTAATGAAAGGACATAAGCTATCTTCCTCTCTAGCAGTGCTATTGTGACCCTAGTATGGATGTCTTTATTTAGACGTAGCTGCTTCAGCATGCATCAGCAATGGTACTATGAAATGGCATTGATTTAATTCAAAGTTTTACAAAACACAGGTTTAATTAAATTTGTGTAACACCCAATTTTAAATGTAAATAGTTGATGTCAATTTTGTTTTGTTGATGTCCCCCAAACCAAAACATCCATGTAGTAACAAACTTGTGACCCACACAAACTACCATGGGCCAGGGGTGTCATATTTCCTGTCTGCCTCTCCACTGCAATAGCCCTTCTTCACAGCAGACATTTTGACTTATCATAGCAACAAAACACACAATGGCTCTGCCTTTGAGGCACCATGCAAGAGCTCTGGAACTGGCTAAACTAAATGGAATGTGACTATAATTAATCTGCGAAGACTGCGATTTTTCTTTCAAAATGTCGGCTGTGAAAAAGGTATATATCAAATGATGACTAACAAAATCTCAGTGATCAAGCAGCCACATTTATTTACAGTATACATACCTTCATATGCACAACCTAGCAATTCCCTATTAGCTATTCAGCACCACCTCTCCATAAACCGAGCTTGAGCAAGTTTTGCATAGGCAGCACATTTAAATCAGATGTAGCCATTTCTGGTTACCATACATTTTTATTGGCGTAACCCACCATCAGTGGGCAGCAATCCTCTTCCACAAGAGAGTTTAGAGATTTGGCATCAAATCACAGCTCAGAACACATCAGGGATTTTCTCAGGCATCTCAAAAAGGAATTTGCCAGTGGGTATCCAGCAAGATCAAAAGGAAACTGGATTACTAAATTGAGGAAACAATCCTGATTCAGTGAAAACTGGTTTGTATTGGGACATTCTGGTGTGAGGAAATCTTTTGACAAACACAATAAACCCATTAATATTTATGCTCATGATTTGAGAGTTTTACTGAGCAGGTGCATTTCCTCCTTGGCCATGGTCTGCCCTTTCCACATTTTATTTACAGCAGCATTTTGGGGCATCCCAAGAGAGACAGAAAATTAAAAAATACAGTTTTGGGAGTTCACCAGTCATGTCAAAGATTAAATTGATTACAAACAATACTGCTGAAATTTGGTTAATTATTCTCTGTAATCTAACAGGTCAGAGTCCAGATCTAGAATATCTGAGTAAGTGGAAGGTTGTTTTCTATTGTTTTTCTATTATGCATATGTCTTTTACTTCTTTTGGAAGTCAACTTTGTGGCTAGTTTATTAGCTAAAATGTCTACATGGTGTATTTTTTTTTGTTTTGGTGCCAATATTTACCCAATTTCCATTCAAAAACCAATCAATAAGCATCTCCTAAACTTTCGGTATTTTGCACACAGATGAACGTGAAATTACAGATTAACTTTCTCTAATTTATATCTATACTAACAATCTGCAATAGTTGTATAATTCTTTGAATTTTTCCCAGTTGTTTACTTCTTTGGAAGAGCCTTGATAATGTGAACTTTCTCCCCTCTTCATTATATTTCAGGGAAGGCCAAGAGGAAACAAAAGAGAAAAAAATATGGGCTTTTGACAAGATAAGGTATCAGGAAGGCTCTGTTTTATAACTTACAGAAAGAAAGCAGGAATAAAAGGGGTAGGACCTATGCTGTTCATAAAGATTAGGTGTACCCTAACAAAACACAGATAAATAGCAGTCGCAAAGGTGGTAAGGTGGTAATAACTCACTGGTACAAGGTGCATTTGACAGTCTGCAATCCTAAATACTGATCATACAGATTTTGTCATACACGTGACGATGAAGACACTGGCATTGCTCTCACTGAGCTTAGCAGGTAAGAGATTTCCTTAACATTTTTCTGGTGTGTGTTTCTACTTCTCTTGCTCTGTTAGATTTCACACATAGGTTCTGTTTTCCTGAACGCTCATCTCATCACTCTCATCATATACTGATCATTCATTATCATATTTGCAATTATTGTTCAAGATTTACAGCGGAAATGCTACACATGGCAAATAAATAGATAATTAAATCTTATTACATACTAATATTAATTAAATTGTCTTATTTCTTATTCATGTTGTCATTCCTGCTTTATGAAATGATGGGTGCTGGCATGAATAGATTACTGAACTGGCCCACCTGGCAGGGGCCAGAGGGTTTAGGGGGGGCAGATCTTCTGTTTGAAGTGACTCCAGACATTTTTTGTTGGAAAGTCAATCAAATTACTATAAAGAGACACAAAGTGACTATAAAAACTCAAATTGACTGCAAAAAGTCACAAAAACAACCTCAAAAAGATGCAAAACTACCACAAAGACAACAAACACAAAACAATCACAAAAAGAAGCAAAATGACCACAGAGAGATGCAGAACCACCACAAAGAAACTTAAAACAAATAGTTCCAAACCCAATACAAAGAGTTGCAAAAAGACCACAAAATGATCACAAAACTACAAACTTCACAGCCATTTCGTGCCTCTTTCAGTGTGTCCTGTTCTAATGTAGGAAGGGTAGGGGGCCTTCACATGTCTTTTGCTCAGAGTCCCACTGTCTCATAATCCATTCATGGGTACAGGCAAGAGAATCTTCCTTATTTTACCAGCTAATGTATTTTTTATCTTCTCTTTGCAGTGGCTCTGGGAATGCCACCATTTGCTCCAGGGGTAGAACAAAAACCTGTTTTGAATAAAGAAGAGCAGAGCCCTCTGCTGGGGGACTTGGTGCCTGAGCAGGGCCATGTGGTGGTGGAAGATCCTCTGCCACAAGTCAGGCTAGGCTCCAAGGAGCAGCAGGAAAAATTGGCCCCGGTGCCAGCTGACATGGAGCAGAGCCTGAATATGGTGGAACTAGAGGTTAAAGTAAAGCCAGATTTCAAAGCAGAGCCAGAGGTTAAGGTGGAGCAAGAGGGTAAAGAACACACAGAGGATAAGGTGGAGGAAGAGCTAGAAGCAGAGACCGAAGTTAAGGAGGAGCCAGATGTTAAGATGGAGCACGATGTTAAAGGGGATTTAGAGGTTAACCCAGAAATAAATCTGAATCCAGAAGTTATGGCTAAACTAGAGGTTAAGGTGGAGTCGGACAGTAAAGAAAACACAGATGTTAAGGTTGAGCAGGAGCTAAAAGCAGAGCCAGAAGTTCAGGAGGAGTCAGATGTTAAGGTGGATTTAGAGGCTAATGTGGACCCAGAAATAAATCTGAATCCAGAAGTTATGGCTGAATTAGAGGTCAAGGTTGAGCCAGAGGTTGAGGTGGAGCCAGAGCTCAAAGATGACCCAGACTTTAAGGTGGAATCAGAGGTTAAGGTGGACCCAGATGAGGCAACAGAGCCTGAAGAAAGGCCCCTGTTTAATGAGGAAGAGGTTCAAGAGGAGTTTCAGGTGCAAATGAGCCTTGAGCCAGAGTCTGAAACAGGCCGGGAGTTTGAAGAGAGGCACATTGACACAGAGGGAAAATATGAAATGGTGGGCGAGCCGATCATGGAGTTGGAGCCACTGGATGACAACAACATGTTTGAAGAGGAACTGGGCAATACGGAGCTGTCAGAGGTGGAAATGTCTATGAGGGCAGCAGTTCAGAATCAGTATCAACCCCTGCCAGAGGAGGAGGTTATGGGTGAGCAGGAGTATATTTTAAATGGAGAACCAATCATGGAACTGGAGCCTGAGGCGGGGGAAGACTCCTTTTTACATCAACAGGTCATGCAAGATGCCACTGTAATGGAAGAAGGGCCAGCACTGGACATTATGGGGCGGCGGATGCGATCTGTAGAGGAGTATTTTCCAAATGAAGAGGCTAGGATGGGGATGGAGCCTGGCAAACTGCAAGACTATTTGATGATGGAGGAACCAGAAACTTTCAGGGAGGAGCGGTTCTCTCCAGTCCTGGACGACAACCATGTGCTTGATGGAGATGCACAAATTGATGTAGCGCCTGTAAGAGAAAAAATGGATTTGACAAGGCAGGGAGTTAAAAACCCTGAAGAAGAAACATTATCAGGTAAAATGTAAATAAAATATTATACACAATATGGAGCAGAGGAATGGTTACATTGATTAAAAACTGTTTTCAGTGTTTACATGTTCATGTGACTGAAAATGTTGTAATTTCACCTTTCAGCCACAGGGCCGAGCTGTTATCCTGGTGTGGTACTTGAGAGGAAGTGTTACCAGTTCTTCCAGGGGCCAAAGAGGGCTGCAGATGCCCAGGTATTAACATGTTCTCCACTATCTCAAGTATTCACCATGAAATCTTTATAAAGTTAGACTTTTTTATCAACACTCAGCCGATAGTACATAATCCTCACTGTCAGTGTCTTCTCCATTTCATTGCAGTTATTCTGCCAGGAACATTTCCCTGGTGGCCACCTGGCTTCCATCACAAGCCCACACATCCACAGAGAGGTGATGAAGATGATGCTGCGGCAAAACGGGGAATATATACGCACCTGGATTGGAGGATTACGATACTTGGATGTACGTATGTTCAGTCAGCGAGTAGGGGGACGTAATTAAATATGCTGTGTTTGTATCTGGAGAATCACCTCATTAATACCCTGTTATCTGTCAGACGGGTCGCTTTGTCTGGTTGGATGGATCCCACTGGAGCTATGCTGATTGGCTGTCAGGGGAGCCCAACAACACAGCAGCTGTGGAGAACTGTGTGGAAGTGCTGGGTAGGAGTCAGATTGTTGTTTAAAGCTGAACTGAAAGCACACAGACACTTTTTTGTTTTACCTTTATGTTATGTTAACAGTGAAAATTGACCAGTGGGCCACTGGGTTTCTGATCTGCTGTTTGTCTTTCAGGGAATGGAAAGTTTAACGACTTCACATGCTGGGAACCTCAGGCTTTCATCTGCTCCCATCCTTATTAGTGAATGTACAGTGAGCTCTTTTCCCATATGCTTCTTTGTCTGATTTGATGTTGGATGAAGAGTTTGTTGCTTTTTTCTTCAGCTGTACAGTAAATCATATCTTGCAAAGCAAATGGATCAGCGGCACACAATGACTTAAAGCTTCTGAAAACTTATTTCCTCACTCAGCAATTATTGACTAATTGGATCCTACATTAACACAATGTTTTCTACCTAAATTAGGACTGCTATAGTTATTTCACATTGCGATTTCTGTAGAATTTTTCTCTGTGCTCATCTCACTGGTATCCCCCATCTTGACAACCCGCACAGTTGTGAATATTTCATAACATACAAGTTTAAATGAGATTAAGGCTTAAAGTTATACATAATTAAAGACATGGCTGCTTTGAGTGACAGATGGGTGCCCTCTCAAGTGGCTAGCTGCTAGGTGGTTCAGCAACAAGGCTTCAGTGGCCCGTCTCAGCTCTACCATTTGCCAATTTTTGGATTAGCCAGAGTCAGGCACTGTCAAGATGGCCTACATTGAGCTTCACAATGGCTTTTCAGAAACCAGTGGGTGACGTCACAGACACTAAGTCTGTGTTTTTTACAGTCTATGGTCAGAATCTGATTGACAGTTAGTGGTTTTGTTTCCAAATCTGAACAAACCACATCCACACAGCTGGGTTTATGAGTGTTAAAATCTTTATAAATAACACAGAGAGATATTTTTTTACTTTTATGTTGCTTATTTAGTCATGAATATTAACGTTATGGAGAAATACTTGAGATTTGAAGCTGAGTGTTCAGGGGCCTTAAAAGAGAAGAACACAATTCATGTAGTACTGGGACTCCTAAGCATCTTTTATATTATATTCTAATGTGGTTGTATTTGTTTCTGATAACAAGGTAATGTCCTGTAAATAAAAAAAACATGACATTTTGGACTTTAGCTTGTTGTGATTATTATCCATGTAAAATATATACTTAACTGCACTTAATTTAAGTGTACTTAGTATACTTTTATGTGCATTCAGGATTGATGTACTTGAAGTGCTTTGGTGCTATGGTACTTTTACATTTTTCCTTTAATAAAAAATATGCACTTTAACATTTTTATATGTATATTACATACATTTATACTTTTTAATCATTTAAATGTTATTCCTTATATTTATTTATTTTTAATCTTAAATCTCTTAGTCTAATTATTTTTATTGCACATTAGCCTTTAGCACATCAAATAGATTCTATATATTTTCTCCATATACTTACAATACATATTCTAGTCTACACTAAGTACCAACATGTGTATACATTTATTTTATATGGCATATTGTTAATAAATAAAGTACTTACATAACTTAACTTACATTTCATTGTGTTGTAAAATGACAATAAATGAACTTGAATACAATTTTTGGGTGTCACAAATAGCAAGTGCAGAATTCAAAGGACACTATTGAGTATAATTGAAATTTTTTTATTTAATTGAAACACCTGAAAAGGTGACTTTAGTAGATTCAAGCTTTACCCTCGGTTGCCAGTTTATAACACATACCTGGCTGAAACAAATGCAGTCTAATAAAACAGTCCTGCAACACATCCTACCTTCATGAAGTTAGTAAAGTTGTGGTGCTGTTTAATTGTAATGCATTATATAGATAGGTAGGCTATTATTTACACTACCTAGGCCTACTGAGTAGGTTCAACATATTAAAAACATCTTTCTGTATAATGCAATACAGCACCACAAACTACATCCTCCACAGTGATTAAATAGTTTAATCAACACTTCTCTAAAACTGTTTCAACAAAAGCTGAACATTATAACCTTCATGAAGGGAGGTTTTATTGCAGAACTGTTGTATTAGACTGCACTGGATTTAGCTAGATGTACCTCATCTCATTATACAACCTTGTTGTAAAATGCCAAATAGATTTACCTTGTACCTTGTTATAAACTATCCACTGTGTGTATAGTATATTCTCTCTCAGTTAGATTAGCACTGTTGGCCTGCGGCATGGGGCATTTTTTGAAGTTTAGGTGATGAGTGTTTACCAGGAAACAGTGACACAACCATCTGTCTGTCGGGTTTATCTAAACCGAGAAAGAGCAACCTGTTCTGTTGCCAAAAATCTTACATGGCGATAAAAGCTGTTCACACCCAGATTTCAGATTTCATGTTCACTGTCTGTAACATAGCTGGCTGGAAATGGACATGGTCAATACGGCATCTAGACTCATTAAATTCCAATCCTCACCTACCCTTTAAAATTACAGGAGCTTAGCGCCCATTAACTAAAATATTCACACACACATGCAGCTACTGTAAAGCCTGCCAGGACTCACATGTTGTTGTGTGTGACTGTGACTCATTTTCCACTAGCCCACAACCTTAGCCTGACCTTTGGATGTGGAGGTGAGGATTACCAACTGACTGGCAGCTCTTTATCCTTCTGTTTGAATTGCTTACCCATCCACATATACATACATCCACCACCACCACCACACACACACTCATTCACTAAAATGAATATTCAAATTATACAATAAGACATTGTTTGATAAATACAGTCTTTGGCACATGTGAGCCTTGCAGATTCTCCATTGTTCACCTACCCGGAAAAGTGACTTTTGCTGGATTTAAGAGATCACAGTTGAAGGTACATTTCAATTCTATTACTGGAGAGATATCTCCAGTAGCTTTGCTGTACTTTGCGTGGGTACAAAATCATATTTTTAGACTCGGTACATAATCATATCTGGTTTGTTGTCCTCAGTTGAATAATAAAATAAACAGGGGAGTATTTTGGCAAAACAAGAAAGTATGCACAATATGTAATTCATCAGCAGTGATTGATTAATGAAAAAGAGACTGGTGGATTCATGGTGTGGAGATCCTGGTGCTCTGGAAATCCCCTAATACCTTGACTGCTTATTAGGGTTGCTGTTTAGATGAGAGTGACTCAGTGTTGCTGCTTGCCATCTGTCAGTTCAAGTCATTTCCTAGCTTCATGCAGCACAACCAGTTGTTTGCTGGCTTGTGTGTGTGTGTGTGTGTGTGTGTGTGTGTGTGTGTGTGTGTGTGTGTGTGTGTGTGTATTCACGCACAGAGGCTGTGCCATACAGCTCTGCTCGAATACCACTATATCCATGCTCAGTTGTTTGCATCACAGGCCGGACTCTGACAGTGGAATAAAAACAGATGGTAGACCATGTTTAAATCACTGCCTTTAATAGTGCAGATACATACCAGCACTAATCTGTGTCCTTTTGTGAATGTTACTGTTCATGGCAGCTCCATAAAAGACAAACACAACTTTTGAAACACTCTCAAATAATTCCTTAACAGTCTGTGGTCAGGTTAAGACCCACTTTTAGGAGATGTGTTCCAGTCAGGTGCAAAATAGCACCAGCCACCAGCCAAATGCTGGTTAAATATGCAAATAGATGCTAGATTTACTTCACTCACCAGCCAAAAAACAATGATAATCTTTTGAGTGGCTGATATACTTTCACCAGCATTCACTAGCCAAAACCATCAAGTCTGCATTGATTTATTGTCAAAGTGACATAGTGTGCTATGGCAATTTAAATGGTTGATTGATTGATTGAAAAATTATGATCTGTGTTACCACATAACAATAATGTATCTTGAAGCAGACTTGGTGTCCACTGTAAAAGATAACACAACTCGAAAGTCCCTGGATGAGACTTCAAAGTTTCAAAAGTCTGCTTATTGAATTTTATTTCATGAGAAAATAGATGCAAACAAGTGGTTGATTAGATTGGAAGGAAAAGTTAAACCACTGAAACACTAGTCCAATCACGGACACTTGGCATATGTTGTTTTTCTCTTGTCACACTAGGGGATTGAATGAATGTTATTATAATTTTTCTTTTGGCTGAAGGAATGGTAGTTTTTGGGAAAGCAGGGGAGAGCTTTTAATATTATACTTACTTTATTCTTATATGTATACTGTCTCTGTATCAGCATTTTATTGTATGTGTCATTGGTGGCACATATTAGGAGTTTGCAACGTCCATGGCTCAAATCTGGTTGCATCTCTCCACTATCGCTATTTAATAAAGGTATAACATGCCCAGAAATATACATTTTAAATCTGGGTACACAACAGAAAACATTAATGACCCTGGGAGAGCCTTGCTTTTTTTTGTTTTTATAAAGTGAATTGTAAGGTTCAGCTCCCCTTACCACCCCAGTAATTTTGATACGGCCCCTAAAATAGTTTTCCAGTTCACACACACAATCCCCTCTGTGTTGCTTCTATGGTTGGTTGACCATTATGGTTGAAGTCCAGTGTGTTTATGTGAATCACAGTAGGACCTGGAGGGGAGGACGAAGACAGCAGGTTAAGAGATAGCGCATGTTAGGCAGATGAGGAGGGTATGGATAAATGCTTGATAAAGGTATTAAAGGTGGAAGTGTCAATTTAGGGTTAGGTATAGATCTTCCTCACTCTCCTGATTGCATTATACATTACCACTATTTTGCTTGGAGCATGACAGGCGGCACATCCATCTCCTACACCCACAGACAGATCTGTTCATAACCCTCCAATGGATAAACATAAATATGTACATTTAATTTAATACATGTTCTAAAATGTTTGCATGCCCCTGCTGTCCTACATCCGTCCGCTTAAAGCCAGATGTCTGGTTCATTAAGGATAAGAGGAGAGAATAATAAGAAAGCTTTGCAGATGTTGAGAAACATCCTGTGTGGAAACAAAATGCTGGACCGGATTTTAAAGCTACAAAAGTATACAGTGATATGCACCCTCACAACAAGGGTTGATGTTAAAGCACTGGGAGGGGTGAGGTCGTGAGGATAGTTCATCTCTGTCAGACATTATAAATCTGTCTCTCAAATCTGGCCGTCAGAGACCCCAAACACCCCTGCCTCGCTCAGGGGTGTGTCACTATAAACACAGGAACACAGCAGAGAGACGTGCAGACACAAAGAGAAAAGGGGAACAACAGACAGCTGCATCAAACAGGTATGTTTCACACATTCCGAAGAGCAACATATTTAAATGTTTTGGCTTTTTCAAAACTTTTTCATTGAATGAGATGAACCTTCACATACTTCAGATGGCATAATAATGATAATTATTTTTAAATCATATCAACTAGTGCTCATATTTGCATGGAGGTCCAGTTGAATGTGATGTGAATCTGAGGTAAAGAGCAACCCGATGTGTCCACCGTATCCCTGTTTGAAGCCTGTTGACCTGGGGGTTTAGCTAGCTGTGGGCTCCAGACCGGAGTCCAATAACAGCCAAAGGGACTAGTGGACAAAATCTAGTCCATCCTGAATCCATTCCAACTTTAACTAAGCTTAAAATAACTCACAAACACATAAATCATTTAAGAAGCACACTAAAAATAAAACAAAATTCCTAGCCAGAGAATCTGCAACAATACAAATTTGTTTGTCATCATCCAAATAATTGCAAAATAAAGATTTGCAGCTCATCAACACAGCTGATAGGCCTAATAAAACACTAAGCAGAAATTGCAGTGAATGCATTTTTAATTATGTGAGACACTGATAACTTTAATGCATACTCATACTACAAAATATAATATGCACATAGAGAAAGACACTATTGAATTGCATTATGAGAAATGTAGAATCCAGTGTTTTTTTTAGCTTGATATCCTGGCCTCTGTGTCATCAATTTTGACCATTCTTTATCTAATCTGTCTCTTGTGAGTCTTTGTTGGGGTACCCCTTTAAGATGTATTAATAATAACTAAAATCTACACTGTAATGACACTCATGTCACACAAAAACATATTAAACTACTTTCCCTTAAACAGTATTTCGTGGTCATGGAGAAATCGTCCACAGTCAGCCAACCTGTCCCACAGAAGCAAAAGGAGGTGGATGATGACAAACAGGATGGGAGACTGCAGGTGGAGCAGGGGACCACAGATGAGGGTAACTTTGGATTGAACACTCAAGAGTATGTTTATTTTATTCTGCCCTACCATCTCTAGTTTCTGTATTACAGTTTTCCGCAAAGTAGATTTGTTACGCTGATCAGTACCGTAAGTCTGCAGAACTGTAACCTGACTCTTCATGTAACACTCTCCTCTACAGCGTTAACAGACCAAAAAGCGATGGCAGGAGAGGCTTTGAACAGGAGGAGCATCTGGGAGCCAAGTGTGTACTACGCGCTGGGAAAGGAGTCTTTCTATTTTGCTGGTCATGACATCAGCATCCGCGAGTCTATGGATTCTTATGGTGCTCTGATCTGGCCTGGGGTATGCTCTGCCATGACTGTGTGTACATTTTCTGACCTGGTTGTTGTAAATGTGATAATGACAATTTATTTTGTAGGCGATAGCTTTGTGCCAGTTCTTGGAGAATAACCAGCAACAAGTGAAGCTGATGGACAAAGCAGTGCTGGAGATTGGGGCTGGGACTGGTTTGCTTTCAATAGTGGCCAGTCTGCTTGGTGAGTCACTTTGCACTTTACACAATATGTATTGTATGTATGAAACAATAACATTGTCCACAAGCATGTCTTATCACTGAAGTCCTAAGTAATAACATAACTCATAAACAGGCTTTTTGCCAACTTTAAAGCCTTTACATACAAGTTGACAGTTATAATTAATAAAGAAATTAGCATTAATGATGACAGTTTCATAAAAGTTGCTATTTTGAATTTCTTACTTGAGACATACTTAGAACAGACATGGTACTCTTTTCTTGTGCTAGCAGAAAGGCCATGAAGGGTTCATTGCTGTGGGTGCATAAATATGCACTGAATATTTTATTGGTATCTGCTCATCTTCTGTGCAAAAAGTACATTTTGGCTGGCAGAACTCAGGAAAGCGTCACTAAAACATTGGGAGTCATTGTCTGAGGACTATCCACCCACATCAAATTTTTTGCATCTCAAACAGGCAGCTAGCTGCAAAGATATCCTGACAGACAGAGTTATGATGGGACTGATATCGCTGTCCTTTGGTGCTTCCAACAATCATGTAGTGGAAATATGAGTGTAATTTTATTCCCTATTAAATAAAATGTCTATTCTCACAAAGGCAATTATTGAAACTCTCTTATTGAACTGTTTTCGCCTCATTCCCCTGCCTCTATCAATAGACATATCCATGAAGTTACACTTATTCTTTCCAAAGCACGTCAACACATTACTGACCTTCCAAACTAACCTAGTTTAAAGACTGTCTTCACTTTAAAAACGCAGCTGGTCTGGCCAAGATAATTTTGTTTTGGGCTTTGTGAGAGGATCAAGATCCAAGTGAAGTCATATACTATTGGTAATAACTTCAAAGTGGAAGTGTTATCATCAAATTTATGATTTGAGTTAACACCTCTAGTCAGCATTTTTTAAACTATAAAGACAAACCTTTTATTTATTGGCACTTCATTGGCACATTGGCAGTTGTTCTGTTATATATTATATATTCTGTTTTTTATATTCTATTTTTATATTCTGTTGATTATATTATTTATTCATTCATTCAGTATTTGTATAAAGTTAACTCGTTGCTGCTGTCTGTTTTAATTGATATTTGTATGCTAACAGTCTGAGCTACTGGAAGGGAATTAATGAAGTACCTATCTACAGTGGGGGAAATAAGTATTTGACCCCTTGCTGATTTTGCAGGTTTGCCCACTTACAAAGAATGCAACGATCTATAATTTTAATCATATGTACATTCTAACAGTGAAAGACAGAATCCCAAAGAAAATTCCAGAAAATCACATCATATGAATTTATTAAAATTGATAACCATCTGATGAGGAAAAACAAGTATTTGACCCCCTGGACAAACAGCATGTTAATATTTTGTAGAAAAGCCATTATTGGCCAGCACAGATGTCAAACGGTTTTTATAGTTGGTGACAAGGTTTGTGCACATTTTGGCAGGGATGTTGGCCCACTCCTCCCTGCAGACAGCCTCCAAATCATTCAGGTTCCGAGGTTGTCGCCTGGCAACTCGAATTTTAAGCTCCCTCCAAAGATTTTCAATTGGATTCAGGTCTGGAGACTGGCTAGGCCACTCCAGAACCTTGATGTGCTTCTTCTTCAGCCACTCTTTTGTTGCTTTGGCGGCGTGCTTAGGGTCGTTGTCGTGCTGAAACACCCATCCTCGACCCATCTTCAGCTCTCTCACTGAGGGAAGGAGATGTTGGTCCAGAATTCCACGATACATGGCCCTGTCCATCCTCCCCTCAATACGATGGAGTTGTCCCGTCCCCTTGGCTGAAAAGCACCCCCAAAGCATGATGTTGCCACCACCATGCTTGACGGTGGGGATGGTGTTCTTTGGGTTGTACTCTGTTCTTTGCCCTCCAAACACGACGAGTTGAGGCCAAAAAGTTCTATTTTGGTCTCATCTGACCACATCACCTTCTTCCATGCCTCTTCTGAGTCGTCCAGGTGGTGAATGGCGAACTTCATGCGGGCCTGTACATGTTTCTTCTTGAGCAGGGGGACATTGCGTGCGCTGCAGGATTTCAATCCATGACGGCGTAGTGTGTTACCAACCGTTTCTTTTGTAACTGTGGTCCCAGCTGCCTTCAGTTGATTCATCAGTTCCCCCCTTGTGGTTTTGGGATGATTCCTCACCGTTCGCATGATCAGGGACACCCCACGAGGCGAGATCTTGTGTGGAGGCCCAGACCGAGGGAGGTTGGCGGTGGTGTGGTGCTTCTCCATTTCCTGATAACTGCACCGACAGTTGATCTTTTCTCTCCAAGTTGCTTTCCGATTCTCTTGTAGCCCATCCCAGCCTTGTGCAGATCAACAATCTTGTCCCTGATGTCCGTAGAAAGCTCTTTGGTCTTGCCCATGGTGGTGATGTTGGATGCTGGTTGTTTGGGTGTTGACAGGTGTCTTTTATACAGGTAACGAGGTGAGGCAGGTGTATTTGATGTAGATAATTGGTTGGGATTGGGGCTGTGTCTTAAAGAAAGACTAACTGGCTTGTAGGAGCCAGAATACTTGCTGTTTGGTAGGGGGTCATATACTTGTTTTGCCTCATCAGATGGTTATCAATTTTTATAAATTCATATGATGTGATTTTCTGGAATTTTCTTTGGGATTCTGTCTTTCACTGTTAGAATGTACATATGATTAAAATTGTAGATTGTTGCATTCTTTGTAAGTGGGCAAACCTGCAAAATCAGCAAGGGGTCAAATACTTTTTTCCCCCACTGTATCTGTGTATTAAAAGGATAAGGCTGGAGTTATTGTATCATTTCAACAAGTCCCATGAAAAGACCAAAACCAACAATGTGTTAATCTGTCTCCTTCTGACTTACTTACTCTGCCTGTGGCTCTCAGACCCAAGCCCAGTGGCTACTACTGAAGACGAGATTATTTTAGTGCCTGTTTTCTCATCATGTAACCCACAGCACATGGTGGCTGGCTATAGTTTCAAGGTTAAAGAGTTTGTTCAGTGGTGTAAGGACCATCATCATTTAAATACTAATACAAGAGAAGAAATTATTTTGGACTGTCCATGTGAATTCTGTAGGCACTTGGATTCAACAGTGATTCAACATCTTGAGAAGACTCAGGGTGTTTTGGGGATCATTTCTCCCTCCAAATGTTTTTGAAAAGACATTAGTACAAACTGCTCTCATCAGGTAGGTACTATTGGGGTCCATTAAATAGAGGAAAATATTCCTGAATAGGCATAAAAACTCTTTCATCCCTCCATCAGTGAATCTTCTAAACTCGGGACATAAGGAGGATGCGAAATGAGAGGCTGTGTTGCTGTGTTGTATGTACTGAATGCACTTGTGTGTTACTGCACAATAATTGCATGCATTTTTTATGTGGTAGCGTTTATGTCCACAACAAGTTTCCATGGGGACAATTCAAGTCATTTTGAATCTTGATCTATCTTCTCAAAATGGTGAGACAAAGATTTTACATTTTTATTTTTTTGTTCACCGTTGTTTAGCGCGTTGCAAGCTAACATTTGCCAGTTAGCACTAAACACTAACTACAGCTAAGGCTATTGGGAATGTCATAAATTGTTATTAAAAGTGTTTTTGTTAAATGAAAATGCTGAAAAGTTAAAGGGTCACCAAAGTTTTTATGATTCACCCTGAAGTGAACAGAACCAAATTTCAGAGCAATCCATCCAGTAGTTATGGAGACATTTTAACTTAAAACCAGAAATGTCAACATCATGGTGACGCTACACAGAAAGTCAGGATCACCAAAGTCATTAGGTTTCATCTTCTGACAGCACATTCTCTTTTCAATATTTCATGGCAAATAATTGTTGAGATATTTCAGTATGGACCAAAGTGGTGGACAACTGACAGACCGTGACTGCATTCCTACCGTTAGCGGTTAGCATGGGCTAAAATGGGGTGTATAGCCTAGATTTTCCTATCTGTATTTCAACTACCTTGTTGTTTCTTTACTCTTTTCCAGGTGCTTGGGTGACAGCTACTGACCTGCCAGACATCCTGTCAAATCTGACCTTTAACCTAATGCGGAACACCAAGGGCCGGTCCCGCTACACTCCTCAGGTGTCGGCCCTTACCTGGGGTCAGGACCTGGAGCGACACTTTCCCTACCCGTCCTACCACTACGACTACGTGCTTGCAGCTGATGTAGTCTATCCCCACGACTACCTGGAAGAACTGCTGAAAACCATGCGACACTTTTGCCGACCAGGAAGTCAAACAATGCTGCTGTGGGCCAACAAGATCCGCTTCCAGTCAGACTTGAGGTTCACAGAGTGCTTTAAGAGCAGTTTCAACACCACCTTGCTCATTGAGCTCCCACAGCAGGAGGTGAGGATATACAAGGCCACAGCAAAGGAGTGATGGAGGAGCTTCAAGGGTGGAAGACGACGCAAAAGGATTTGTGTTTGGTTTTGTTTTTTGAGGGAAAAAAGGAAATTCCATTTTCCACTTGCTGATTTAAGTCAATGTAGAGAAAAGTCTGGTTTTGTGTCTTTACACAACATTCCTGGAAAGTGCTGTAACTGTTCTGAAGCAGAAGGCAAAAATGAAGCTCCTGACTCAAATTTCTATTTCAATAAGCTATTTTATTTGCCAGTAACTTTTATTTGCCAGTAACTTTTCATACATTTGATGTCTGACTTTATTCCACTTTTGCTAAACAATTTGTTTTGAAAATTAAATTGATTTGCTGTTAAAATTATCTATATTCAAATTTGTCTCAACGACACTACATAAACCTTTATGAAAGGTTGGCTATTTGTGCAGGGAGTCAATGATGAATCATGAAATAAACATAAGAAAATATTTTCCAAAATCATGAAACTTTGCGTTTCTGTTGTCTTAGCTTTTAGTATTTCAACAGCAGCAATTCAATTAGCTGTGTATAGTCAAAACTAAGGACAGTAAACTCATAAATGAACAGAATCACTTTTCATTAAATGGCATACACTCTAAAGGAGCACATTTACCATATAAACATTTTTACATGTTCAACATGTCACTTAGCACCAAACATACCACAAAACTAAACTTCTGCTTAAAAAAGTGACTTCAAATGCATTTTAAATCTAAAAGCATTACAATGATTTAACACATGCACACACAAAGAGAAGAAATTAAACAGAGAGAGAGAGGGGACAAAGACGATGAATACTTTCTTTTTTTCCAAACTAAATTTATGCTTAAGCCCATTCCAGGTTGAAAATCCACCTCCATTCTGTTGTTTCCTGCACTCACCAATAAAGGTTTAGAGTCTCAGTCTGACACTTTAATCAGAAAAGAGACTTGTGTCTGTCCTGAGTATTTGAGTCCTCATGCCACATGTTCTAGAAAACTACAAGTCTGTACACTGTATGGTTGATGTATTTTTAAGGTGTTTCAATGACTCTACGATATGCAGCAGGTTGATGACTTTGGCTGCTCTAGTATGGACTCCCTGCGGAGGTCGTTGGGGATGCTGCCTTCAGGACCCCAAACGTTGAGCTCTCCATAAATGCCCATGTCGATCATCTCCTCTTGCCAGGGGATGGGGATGTTGCCTGAGGAGAACTCGTCAAAAAAGGTCTTGTCAGGATCATCCAAGGTCACTCCCTTCACTGAGGAGAAAGCCCCAACGTCATCCAGACTTTTAGCGTACACCACTTTAGGGTCAGGGACAAAAGGAGGAGGTAGAATACCTGGAATGATGTGTGAAATAGAAATTAAAATCTCATCAATATGCTTTTTTATTTTGAAAAAAGTGCTTATTCATACCAATGTTTATTTAAACTTCTTGAAGTGAGACACAACCCTGAACAAGATCAGAAAGGTGGTACCTGCATTCAGTTTCCTCCAGTTGATGCCACTGAAAAATGGGTGCGCTCTGATCTCATCGCAGCATTCATTCTTAAAACCCATCCTCTGATTTACTTCTTTGGCTAGAAGGCCATCACAGAGGGACTTTGTATTCGCACTGAAATTCTCTGGATATTCCACCACCCGGGTCAGCATGCGCTCTTTCATCTCCTCACGTTCAACCTAAACAGGAGACAAGTATTCTTAACTGTCATCCCCTCATTTAGTTCTCAAAGTTAGCCATTTTGTTTAAAGGATAAAGCCTCAAGGTTTGATAAATGGCCACTAACCTTTTCCCCCCTGTTTCTGAATGGGTTCTTAGCAGCCATGAACTCAAACAGTGTCACTCCCAGAGTGAAGTAGTCGACAGAATAGTCATACTTCTCTCCTTTCAGCATCTCTGGAGACATGTAGCCTGCAAGTACCAAAAGAAAAATCTGATCATAAAGAGTATGGTCTAGACCTGCTCTATATGAAAACTTAAGGAACTATATAAATACAATTTAAGTGAAATAAAGGTACAGTGTAGTGATTGTAATCCAATACACTTTTCGTTAAATTTAGCAAATATTCCTTCGCGGTTTGTTAGCTCACTGTTTTGTGTGTTATGAAAAAAACTCTGATTGTCTTACACAGCCTGGGGTCTGCAAATGGAAAACAAAGAAAGTGGTGTGGACCTTGCCACGCAACATTGTTCCAGCAAATCAGGAACAGGGGACATTAGTGCTAGTACACACGAAGGATGGGGGGAGGGGGGTATTGGGAGAGAGGGGTCTATATTTGTTTGACAGTTGAGTTCAAATATTAGTAACTGCTTAATAGATACAAATGAGACCCACCTGGTGTCCCAGCATATCCTTTGGTCATTGTTTTTCCTTCTTTTAGCTCCACAGCAAGACCCAGGTCAGATATGCGCACGTTCCCTGGTGGACAATGTACATACATCTATTTAGCTATTAATTGCACATGGACAATGGCATTTTTACCCCTAGTGTTTGGCTCAAAATGATTACCATCATTATCTAGCAGCACATTTTCTGGTTTGAGATCTCTGTAGATGATTCTTTTCTGGTGGAGGTGCTCCAAGCCTTGGATGATCTGAGCAATGTAAAAACAGGCTCTGGGCTCATCAAACCCTGGGTTGTTCTCATCCACCAGGTAGATATGGTACCTTCAGGGAACACAAAACAGGTGAGGTTTTGCTCCATTGTGTATGAAAAGGTACATTATCTGTATATATTTGCAGTATTACATATATACAGGTTGCCAATATGTTATTGGTACAAGGGTTTTACAAATGTCAATTACGCATACTACCATTCTGCTGTTGTAATTATGCTGCACTTTTGTTTTTAATCTACAAATCTCCCTTACAACGGTGCTTTTTAAAAGGAACCACCCAGGGATATTCTTGTGATCAAAATGAAGTCCTGGCCCTGTGTCTCTTGAGAATAACTTCTATAATTTGCATAAAGCCTGCAGTCAAGTGTCTCTTCAATAACATGCGCCTTCTCTCATGAACGTTACTGAGATACTGTAACTGATTGACATGCTGTTTCCACATGCGTATGTCTACTAACATACAACACTTAAGCTGTTAAAAGCAACCAAATGCGCATTCCATTACATATAATCCATCCCACTGTAAAGACGATATAGTTAGGAACTGTCAGTCAGGGATGAATTGTGGCCCATTTGGGCAATCGCAAAATTTATTCCTATCTAGTGTCATAGCTGACTTATTACATCGCTGTCAAATCAGCCTTTTGGTCAACTGCACTCCTTCTGTTGGCAATCTAGTTATTGAAAAGGTGTTGTGGAGGAATATTGTTCTATCTAACCAAATTACATAGAATGTAATTAAAACAGCAACACTGTAGTGAAGGGATGAGGAATGTCTGTTTCTTCCGTGAGTCTGTACATGTTTGTACTTTGAAATAGAGAGAGTCAGAATGTGAAGTTACTTGAGGTCTCCTCCATTCATGATGGTCATGACCAGACAAAGTTCTTCCTTTGTCTGGAAGGCGTACGCCAATGACACAATGAAGCGACTGTGAACCCTCGCAAGAATCCTCTTCTCAACCATCGCCCCCTACAGGAGAAAGTTAGGATAGACAATTTTGAAAAACAATAGGTGCATTGACATTTTTTAAAAGAGAAAAACAAAACTACAGGGGCTTTTCTTCCATCTGGGTGAAGTGAAATGTGCTGAAAGGCATTAAAGTGAATTTCAAAGAATGACCTCAGACAAATCAAGGGCAAGATATAACTGTGCCAAGAAGTTCCATTCAGAAGGGCTTTCCACAAAAGCTCCCAGTAATCACTCTATCCCTGTCTCAGTTGTTTAATACTGCAGGCTAAAGCCAAATGAGACAGAGGCAGGGACAAAGATGATTAGCACCATCGCAGTCTGCTCAGCGCAGGGCACTTTCTCTGGAGCATAAAGCCAGCCAAAATACCTTTTTTAATCAAATCACTACATGCATCAAGGTCTTTGTTTCCCTGAAATCTCATGCAAGGAAATGTGATAATACTGTACTCATGCATTCTGACCATCAAAATCATTCCCACATTAGAAACCTACTTTACTTTGAATATATTACTATTTCACTGATTCAGAGAACTTCTATTTGCTGCAGGGTTATTAACAAAAATGTAAACACTGAAAATATTTGGCATTTCAAACTGTGAAGTGCCCAAACCCTGGAGCATGGGTTTCAGTTTGTCCTCCATCTTATGTATGGGCACAGCTGATGAACAGAATCAATGTGCAGTGCGTTTTAAAACTATGTCTAATAAAAAGACTGACAGACAGGAAACTATGCTGCAAAAGAATAAAGGGAGCATATTATTAAGAGTGACAACTGTTCTCTCACCTCATAGCCTTTCCTCTTCTTCAGTCTCTTCTTGTTGAGTTTCTTACAGGCATACAGTTTTCCTGTGGCTTTCGTCTGACAGGCAGACACTTCCCCAAACCCACCTTTCCCCAGCACACGGAAATCTAGGAACCAGTCTGCATCCATGGGCTGCATCTCCAGCCACTTCCACTGCAGGAACCTCTTCAGATACATGCTCTCCAGGAAGAAAGTGTAGGGGGCGGCCCGCAGATAGTCCAACGTCGTGGTCAATGCTGCAGCAAACAAATCATCTGCTACAGCCTCCTGGCCTTCCTTCACCTTCACTATGATGTCCTCAGGCAGGAACGGGCAGTAGTGTTTGGCAGAGGGGTCCATGTAACGCTGGACAATCTTTGAGGCCTTCTTCACCCTTTCAGAATCCTCCGCCATGTCATAGTCCTCGATGTCTTTCCACAAACGGCAAGCCCCATGATACTCTTGATTAGCATTCAAGAATTCCCTAAAGAGGCGTTTGCCAATAGGCTGCTCCACGCAGACTGAGTCAAAGGCCAAATCCAGGGTGTCCCTCAGGCCCTCACACACAGTGATGTGGGGCAGTTTGAGGCGAGAATGGTACTTCTTATCCCGGGCTGCTGCTGGGTTAGAGCCATCGATGCTCCCACGAGCATTGATGTAAGCAGAATTTGCTACCACTGTGGTCAGTCCTCCGATATCCATGTTGAGGGTAGATGACTGTTAAGCAATGCAGAGAGGGGACATTGCAAAGAGAAACCAGAGGCAGAGGAT